GGAGAGTCCTACCATACAATTCCAAATGTTCACGGAAGGAGTTGATAATATCTTCCTTAGGGTCAGAACCGGGATGTCTCTCCTGAGTTACGAAAGGACTAGTCTCTGTCGATGCCATATTAGCTGAGTTATACTTTTTTTGATTCTGCTGGCCTGGTTTCTTGCCCTGATCCGGTGTTGACTTTTTACCCAAATTCTGTGCCCATCTAGGTTTTCCATGGAGATCCCAGCATGTATCTTTCGTGTGTCGTGTCTTCTGGCAGTGAGTGCACCAAAACTTGCTTTTATCTTTTGATTTTTTGAGTGTCACCCCTTTTAAAGCCACCTCHGACATTTGTATCTGAATTTCCCCGGATCGCTAGGGCAACTGACTCCCCTTCTACACCATTCATCACACTTCTTCTGCTTTCTTCTGACTGCACCAAGGCATACACCTCCTGGACTGATGGCAAGTCTTTACTACCCAAGATCTGTACCCTGATGGACTCATATGACGGATTTAGCCCTAGGAGGAAGGCAAACACTCGTTGTTGTGATACAAGTGACTTATAGGCCTTTGCATCTTCATCACACTTCCAATTCACATTCTGATARTGATCAAGTTCTTTCCATATTGATGTCAAATCAAAATAGTACATCGAGAGACTCCTTCCCCCTGCTTGCAAGTAGAAGATTCAGCTTGTAGTTGATATATCTTGGCATRGTGTCTCTGTTCTGAATAAGTGGACTTCGCTTGTTCCCATATCTCACAAGCAGTTTCAGCCCACATAAAAGTCTTCCTTACWYGTGGYAGCATTGAAACCAAKAGCCAAGACATCACCATACTGTTCTCTTGGTTCCACCTATCATGCTCAGTACTTCCATATTTCGGTTCCTTTACTCTCCCATTGATGTATCCTATTCGCCCCCTAGCAGTGATGTAGAGTTTTATCCCCCTAGACCACTTAAGGTAATTCAGACCATCAAAGGGAATGACAGCCATGGGAAAGCTCATATCCATTCCCCCACTCACTCCATTGTGGCTCCCTGAGATCTCTGAAGTAGCAGAATTCTCAATCGACATGGTCAAGCAGTTAATCAGTCCCAAACACCGGACTTAGGACCCCTCCTTACTCCACAAAACAATGCTCCACTCAGTTCACACCCACACACTCGGGTTTACCAACCAGATTGAGCACAAACAATACCAAATTCCGGACAAAAA